TTTGATCTAAGGATAAAAAGGTACGAAGGCTATCAGACGGCTGCTTGAACAAAACGGATCAAGACGGATCAAGTCGGATCAAGACGGCTCGCCGCACACATGTTCCTTAATGAGATAAACAAGCGCGTGATGAGTAGTTGGTCAATCGCGTGACAACCATTCTTTCTATCTCCCACTCACCTCCTCCTAAAAAACGATGCGACAATTACTGTCCCTCATTAAATAAAGCAAGTAAAAAGGAAATTGTCTGTCGTTTACACAATCTCTGATAGAGCGTTGGAGTCTGAAGAACTAAAGCCAGAGACGACACGAAATGTAACAGTTCTACGTAAATCCATTGAGACCAAATTCTATATACCAAGATCAATTATATTTTTATTGATATTAGGTTCAGAGTCGATGTTTAAAGTTGAGAAGGTGCCGTGTGTTAACGAACAAAAACTAAAAAAAATTGGTTGAGAAAATAGACAAAAAAGTTGAATGAAACAAAACGAGATAGACATTTTTATTCTATCGGGAACTTTTTGTGTAGATGAAATTTCAAGGATTGGTTCCTAAAATGAAGTGCAAATTCAAGGAATTTTAAGTTTCTCTGTAAAGAATGAAGAAAAAGTTGAACTTACTCTACTGGTGAGTTAAAGAGTGAGTGATGTGTATGTTCTAAACGATGGGCTTCTATTGCACGGGGCGTTAATTTTAGCATCCTATCACGATATTGGGGCAAAGTGAAAGAGAGCTACCCTCTTCGGATTCCCACCACGCATACACTCAGCTTTTTCTACGCATGCCCAAAAGCTGAAAATTAGGTGCTGTTGCTGAAAGGATTATCAATGCATGTGTGTCTAACGAAAAGGTTCAAAGTCTGTTACAACTTTGATGTTCATGTTCAACAGACCAAATTAAACGTAGAAAAGGCACATGAGTTGTCTCACTGATCTCTGAAAATAAGTAACATTTCAGAGAATTGACATTGAGTGTTTATTAAAGAAAGTTAAATAAAAACAAAGAAATTTTATAAACTTCTCTCTGAAT